AATACGTTGAAGTTGATTAAGTGCAAAAAAAAAGTATCCAATCATACTATAGAAAGATATTAATAGGACAGTTAGGGAGTACGAAAAAATTCAATGCAGTTTCTTTATCAGAGCTGACAAATTATGAGTCACTCTGTACATAAATATTTTGAAGTAGATTAATTGCAAGAAAGGACATCCACTCATACTATGGAAAGATACTAATAGGACAATTAGGGAGTACAAAAAAATTCAATGTAGTTTCTTTATTATGAGTCTCTCTGTACATAAATATTTTGAAGTAGATTAATTGTAAGAAAGGACATCCAATCATACTATGAAAAGATATTAATTGGACAATCAGAGAGTACGGAAAAATTCAATGTAGTTTTTTTATCACAGCTAGCAAATTATGAGTCTCTCCGTACATAAATATTTTGAAGTAGATTAATTGCAAGAAAGGGCATCCACTCGTACTATAGAAAGATATTAATAGGATAATTTCGTTTATTTTTCTCCTTGTGCTTTTTGAGTAACCATATTTAAAGCATAATATCTCTTATGGGCTATTCCACATTTATTATCTTTGTCTTTCATGTTAAAATAAAAAATAATAATAATCTCCAGATCTACCGCGAAAAAATTTTCAACACTCAAAAATAATAATACTTAAAGTAATGAGACAAATGCTAGCTAGGAAAAATTATTGCATACAAACACCGCATGAAATAGTGCATGCGGTGTCCGATCCTGACCGTAGATCACGGTGATTTATGGCCATGATGTATTTCAGTTTTTTTTTTTTTAAATTAAGTGGGGCTCACCGAATTACATCCTGGTCGTATATTATCGTGAAAATCAGACACTGCATGCATCTAGAGGATAAAAATGATAAATTTGAGATTAAAAATCATCAAATAATAATATTTTAAAGTTAAGCCGGCCGATTTAAAATGATCGAAATTGCCGAAAGAATTATATTTTATAAAAAAGATGATCATGATATCTATAAATTTTGGTTTTCACAGGCCAATGCATGTAAAGATAAAAAACCAAATTTGTGGATCACAATTCACCCAAAGCTTCAACCACGGTTACCTGTGAGAGGAAAGAGGCCGCGCTCTACAAGCTGGTGGAAATGAAGGTAACCAAGGAAGCCGCAAAGCACTGGTGGTCCATAGAAGTATCTCGGGGATGCCAAGCTCGCGTGCTGCGTCAAGAGTAAAACTCATGGAGCGGTCCCAGACGATGCAAGAGACGGGGGAAGCGCCGGAGGAAGTCTCTTCATTAAGCTTGGAAATGAGACTTAGGAATGGGCCCAGACAGGTTTTCATTGTGGATTCGCTGAGGTCGGGGATGTTCTGCGTAGCTTCCTCGTCGGATAATGGGAGGCCGTCGGGGATGGAGGCAAAACGGAAGTCGGGAAGTCCATTAATAATCTCTGGGCCTTGGGAATGAGCCAGCCGGCGGTGGTTGAATTCGGTGAGGACGAAGGTGATGTGGAAGCCTCGGGTGTGGAGGACCTTGGCTAGTTTTAGCATGGGGTTCATGTGGCCTTGGGCTGGGTATGGGATGCAGACTGCATGGGATATCTCTGATACGAGAGAAGCCATTTCTATTTCTCTTGATCACCTTGTAGAAAGCTAGCTCCTCGGTGTTTTTCTACCGGGACTTGGTGTTCTTAGTTCTGCTGAGGATGGGTGATGGCTGACTGCCTTTATAGATGAGGAATTATTATTATATATTTTTTAATTTATTGTGTTTGGACCTTTCACGGTACTGTCGGCAAAGTGTTGCGCCCGCACTGTGGAAAATTAGTGATGGTTTTCATTTAGAGCAAAAGTGCAACACTTTATTCAGACATTGTTTGTTTGATAGACAGTTGGTAATCCGTCGAAACATATACAAAGAGTCCTAAAATCATCGGTAAGCCGTCAAAAACCCATAACATCATACAAAAATTAAATCCTTCCCTCAATACTGCAATTTACAAACCTACAATGGTAACCTTGCAATCAACACAAATCATAACACAATAATAAAATAAATAACTAATAAATCATATACAGAAACAAAAGAAAAAAAATTGCATCAAACCAAACACAATGAACAACTGTCAAATAAAAATAATATTAGCGGCCAATAAATTGTTTAAATTACAAGCAAACATAAAAGATAACTCCAACTCGTCCTCCTCTATCCTCTCCTCATCATCCTCCTCATTCTCATCCTGAGTTGGCTGCTTCTCTTTATGTAGATTAAACCACAACATCGCTTCGATATATGCTTTCATCTTCCGCTCCATTTTTTAATCTCAAAGTGGTCAGGTGGGTGGAGACCTGGGCAGCAACCTCGGCAGTAACCTAGTGACGCATCTCCTCCTCCTATGCAATGGAAGTAGATGCACCATATGGGCTAGAGGTCAGGTAAGCATCATAGGTCGGCGCCCGGGACCCTGACTAGTAGACCCTATCTCTCTTTGCACTGTTGAATGTGTGCCTCCTCCTTTGGGAGCCAGGACCACTATTTTTTTTAAATTTAATTAAAAATTGTTAGATTTATAAAAATAAAAATATAACTAAAATTATTATGTTCGGGGTTTACCATAAACTCCCCAAAACACATATCCCAAACTGTCATTGGGATCGCCCTCTAGGATAAGTACATGTGATCTTACTTGCTCAGAGTTATGTCTCTGATGGAATGGATACGCTTTGTTAGGGAGTAAATCAAAAAATAGCATATGATTAGTTCTCTTTTAAATTTATAAAATAAGACAATAATGCCAGTATTAAATAAAAACTTACATGTTCCCCACTGTCTGAAGTTGATGACAATTGCACTGCTGCTCAAATTATAAGGCACATCAACAACAACTGATGGTGACGGTGATAAAACTGTAAAGTGCATTTTATGCGTACACCATTAAAACTAAAGACATGAAATTACATAGTTGGATTAACTTACACATCTTAGTTAGCCTCCTCTATTGAGTCACTTGAGGATATAGTTAAAATTATATTGTCCAAACCATCTTCAGAATCATGCTCATCAATATGAACTTCTTAATATGAATTTCTTCGTGTTTGCTAGTAACAACGACTAAATTGAACTCCTCATCGATTAAATGAAGTGGAATGTATGAATCTGTCATTATTATTTATTAATGAATGTGTTTAATTGAATTCTTAATATCACAGTCGCTGTAGGTTTACCATCTATGACTACTTCCCACTCAACTTTGTCTCTTATTTTATGGGGATATGGAAGAGAAAATACATGATTTACTTTCCTTGATAAATTAAACGAATCTAATTTATCATTTGTTATGTTCACTTTTACCTCTACAATATTATATAATTGGAAAACTTTTGTTCCAAAATTAGGAACAGGATCGAGTTTGCATCGGGTGCAATGGCTCGAAAGTGGGCAAGCCGGGTAGGCTTGATGTGCAAGTGAGTCGATCTCATGATGTGTGAATTTATGGGATAATTGTGAGAGGACACAAATCCAAATACTCACAACTTCAAACATACAAGTCATATACATGCAAAATGTCATGCAAGGCAATCATGCGGAGGTGCACACGTGTAAGTGAAATAAGGATGTCATGAAGCACAATTGGTCAATGTGAGTTATGTCCAAATTTCTGTACTTAAAAATTAAATTTTGGAGTAAGGGTTTAAGGAAATGCATTTTATGTTCCTAAGAGAAATTTCTACCAATTGAAATGGATCATTTCGTTAAGGAAAAATTAAATTTGGCTCAAATGGACCTTATTGGGCCTTCTGGTCCAAAGAAGTTGAACTAACCCTTACATGAGCTTTAGTCTGTTCAAACTTCATCGTAAAAACATTAGTTTTATTTGAAACAGAATAGAATGAATTGACTTGTGATAGATTGAGCCTATGATTATACACTTGGTCTAATCAGGTTAACTTATAGCTTAGAGGTCTCATATTATGTCAAAAGTGATTGCAAATGATTCTTAAATAAATTAAATTCATTAGAAGTAAAAAATCATGAGCAAAGGCGATGCTATATTTTGGTGGTTCCCATATAATCTCTTAAGGTTGACTTAAAAAAATGGATTGACCAAGATTTATAGACTAAGGGAGGGATTGGGGAAGGGTTTAGAATCACTAAGATGTATTCTAAGACATTTAATATGTGAGGCCTTGTGGCTCTATAGGTTGCCTATGAGTTGACTTGTGCTAAATTGGGCATAAAATTGGTTAACCTCCCTCATTTCAGAAGAAATCTATTATTAAGCTACTAATTACAATTAATGAGCTAGAGCAATTAAATATAGATTCGTTTGAAGCTAACAGATGGACAATTTGACTTGAGTAACTCATTCACCAAAACCTATAAGAGAGCACCTAGAGCGCATGAAGGAGTTCTAAGTCTATATGTGATGGCTAGGCAAGGTGTTCAATTGATTGTTTTCCCCTCATCATAAATGAGATCTACAACCATGCACAAAAATGAATTATGAATTTGGCATCAAGGTTGAATGTGATAAACTTGGACCACCTTCATATTGAAGCCTTGATAGTCCTCCAACAATACTATTCTAAGAATTTCCAAACAATAAAATTGTTGAGAAGAAAATTTAAAGTACAGAGAAAAATTCGAACAAATCATAAAGGTGATTATATATATATTTTAAGTTAGTTATCCAGCATCTGCTGCCACAAAGATTCAACAATAAGCTTACGATTCACAGTAGACTGCATCTTGAAATAGTAAATAAAAATTACTATATTTGGAAAGAATTCACCATTTTTTATCCTCCAAAATATTTCATGTTATAACCTTTGTAAAATTTCCCTGAATTAGATTAATTTTCTGGTTGGATATGTATAAGTACTTCTCGATTTATCATGGATTATCACGTGCATTTCAAACATTAACTACTCAAAACAGTATTAAAAGCTTTTGCATGGTGATTTGATTCTTAATTTTCCTATGATTTGAAACCATCAGCTTAAAACTTAGACACAAATAGCTGCCTCAAAAAAGCATGTAAATGCCAAATCCATAAAAAATAAAAATTACAATTCAAGAAATTATTAAACCCAAGCTAAATGTACGGGGTAGCAATGAGATGGAGCGCATAACTGAAAAACATCTCATAAATTATTTATATTAAATACCCACCTAATTATTGACACCTAATACTTTTTATTTCAGCTCTCTTACTCAACGATATTAAAATCTCACGAACTCGTAATAAACCTACGCAGACTATTTTGAACCAAGCAAATCATTGATCATCCGCTCCAAGCCGTCGGAAGAGCTCCCAAGCTGAATAACCTTGCTTTCCACTCCGCCGCCTTCTTTCTCATCTTCTTACCCTCCTCCCCCTCCATCATCTCCCTTATCAATCTCTCAACCTCCGTCCTTGTCAAGCTACTGTCCATCTCCATCCCCACACCCCAATCAGTGCGTGAATAAAAACAATTCATTTGTTGCTCCGCGAAGAACGCCCAAGATATCATCGGCACACCACCACTTATGCTCTCCAATGTCGAGTTCCAGCCGGAGTGCGTTAAGAAAACTCCCACTGCCCGGTGGCGAAGCACCTCCTCTTGATCGCACCAGTCTGCCAGCAATGCTCTCTGGCTAGTCTCTTTCAGAAAATCTGCAGGCAGCACAGACTTTTCTCCCCTCACTAGGTCGGGTCTGATCACCCATAGAAAATCATAGCCGCTATTGGCGAGGCCCCATGCTAACTCCTTGAATTGATCTCCGTTGATTACAGTTACGCTTCCAAAGTTGACGTACACAACTGATTGATCCCGCTTGCCGTTAAGCCAAGTTATGCATGTGGTGTCCTCCTTCCATAGGCTTGTGTTGATGGAGGCGAGTCGGCTTTCGTTTGATATCAAGCTTCGAGAGAGGAGCGATAGTGGGCCCACGGCGTAGACGGAGGGGATGATCTGCCGCAGTGCCTCAAGGACGGGAACCTCAAGGGCTTCAAAGGTGTTGAGCACGATTGCTGTGGCCATGGAAGCTCTGTTTGTCTCGTGCCGGATATAGTTAAACATCTTATCTTTTATATCCGTCACGCGCAGGAAAGAGGGTAAGTCCTTTAGACGTATGCCTTGTCTTAGACCGGGTATCCAGTCTACTTCTGTGTCAAGGTATCCGCTGGTTAACGCGGCCTCATCTACATCAAGACAACATGGTATAAGTAATGAAAAGACAAAGAATATGCATTAGACAATTTCTTAGAGAAGAAAAGTTATATTATTTAGATGCGAAGTTACAATTGAATATTTTAAATGACAATGATCGATTGTTATTTTGAGTTAATTATATATATATATATTACATTCTGTCTTTTTCTCAATTTATTTAGGGGTAATTACATTAGATAGCAATCAGGACCTTGCTATTTACATATCTAGCACTTTTTTTCAGTCATTTTTTTAATATTCTCAAATTTGAAAATTCATGATAAAACCTCTAACTCATATTTTTCATTTTTATCAAATTTTCTCTATAATTTATTCTTGACACATATAAATAAATTAATTGGATTGTTCAAAAATATCACATATGATACTAAATTTTGTAAATAATAATATTTCCGTTATATATATATATATATATATTATTAATTGGATTGTAAATTATCCTATTTATTTGTTCATCGTGTAAGATTTAAAATTCATAACATGTTATGTCTGCATCCTTACCGTATGTAAATTTCCCTAAAAAATATAATTGTCACGTCTCCTTGTTTAATTTAAGCATCTTCAAATTTTTTTTAATTTATTTCTAAAATCCAGTTGTTTTATTGTAAAATTAAAATTTTATGACAAACAAATATCTATAAAGATAACGAAACAAAGCTCGCGCGGATCATTATTTACGCTACGCTTCAACTTGTTTACCTTTGAGTGGAACGACGCCCCGATCCACTAGCTGTTGGAAGTTGAGGTAAGCAAGGAAAGCGCAAGCGCTGGTGGTCCAGAAAAGAATCTCCGGGATGTTGAGCTCGCGAGCCGCGTCAAGTGTGAAACTCATGGCGCCATCAGCAACGATGCACGAGACGGGGGGCGTATTTTTCTCTTCTTTGAGCTCAGCAAGGAGAGTTCGGAATGGACCGAGACAATGCTTCATTGTTGATTCACAGAGATCGGGGACGTTCTGCGTAGCATTTTCATCGGAGTAGGGGAGGCCGTCAGAGATGGTAAAGAAACGGAAGTCGGGGAGTTCACGAACAGAGCCCTGAGAAAAATACAGCCGGCGGCGGTTGTATTCGGATAGGACGAAGGTGATGTGGAAACCTTTGGCGTGAAGAATTTTGGCCAAGCTTAGCACGGGGTTCATGTGGCCTTGGGATGGAAATGGGACGCACACAGCGTGGGGTTTGTTTAATGAACTCGAAGCCATTTTTGTTTCTCCAATCTCTTTGAAGATAGCTAACCCCTTGATATGTTGTTTGTACGAACACTCGTCTTGTTACTGTTCTTGATAGAAGGCTGGCTTTGTTTATGTAGAGAGACGGGGGACGATGTTGAAGCCGGAAGTAAAGGACGGATTTTTAACTGAATTTTGAAGGATTCATGTAGGGATTATTCATTATCGAGCGAACATTTACTTAATTATTTATTTGATAGGTGAGAATATCAAATAATTCGGTAATAATGTTCATGATATTCGGAGTTAGAGCGGTGGACCGTTTTCCACCGCTTTGGAGGTTTCGCTTCATTTGAGCATTTTTTTTCGCTATTTTGTTTGTTAAAAAGCTACCAGGTGTAATTTTGCTCGGTCATTACTTTATATTTTGTATTTAATTTATGCTGAGATTTTTTTTTTCGTATAATTCTACGTGTTAGTGTGTTTTAAATGCAATAAAACTGTTGTTCAACTCTTTTCAATATATATATATATATATATTCTCAGATTCAAAGAATGAGGCAAGAATGTTCACCAAGCCAGTTGGATAACTGGGCTAGATCAATTAGAAAAAATAATAAGACTAGGGAAAATGTTCGAATAACCCACCAATTGTGATCAACACACAGATGCTAGATAAAGGCAGTTTGGCAACTTTCTCTGAAGATTAACTCTCACAATATACTAATTCATCCCGAACATTTCTCCCAGCAGTCCAATTTCCTCGGGAAAACCAACTCCTAGGCTGAAATTAACTCGCCCTATGACCAAATTGGCCAATTGAAGCATTAACTTTGTCTCCCAATATTGGTTACCAATGTAGGAAGTTACCCCGATAATATTTATTATAACGCCCAACCTAGAATATATAGGACAAAGATGTTAGATCGACGATTTCTTATTTCCTGGGTTATTTGTATATTTATAATTATAGTATTGATACGCTAACAACAAATTTTCATCATCCGGCACAGACATGACACAAATTTCGAGACAATATTTTATTCATAAAATATTCAAATCTTGATAAAAAGTTATCTAGAGCTCTGATTTCAACAAACTTATTGTCAAACTGGTCAGCTTGATGAGACGGACCTAATGATATGAAACTAGCTCAATCTGAGTCAAGTCAAGCCCAGATCAAGTCATAATCCAGACACATTTGGAAGATCAAATGGTTGTCGAATATGACAAGTTTATAATCGAATCGAGCAGCTTGACAAGACGAATCCAACGAGCCAAAGATCACTCAATTTTGATATCATTAAGGCACTCAAATGTCCATTAACCTTTGTTTGATTGGAGGAAGTTCTCCGGACCGTCCGATCAAAATGATTCATATTCATGCATTAATAAAACCAAAAACACTATAAATAGAGCCCCCCCCTTCACAGGGGGGGGGGCTGGAAGCC